TAAAATTTGGGAGCATTGGCAGTTTAAATAAAACTCGAGTGCTTTAGCATAAAAAAATACAAATATATTTGAGACAGCAGAACATACAAAATGTACAACTCAGCGACAGTTTGGGGCAAAACTCTTGCTCCAGTTCAGCCGCCAAAAACACGCAGATCAAACATCCAACTCAAACTCCATTCTTCTCAGGCTTATTTGAAATGTTGTCGCCTTTCAGCATCAGCTGAATCTGCTCCAGACTTTTCCCTTTAGTTTCGGGGATGCAAAATCCCGAATACAGAGCAACCAAAAAGGCGCTGACCGTGAACAGGTAAAAGGGCACAAACATGCCCAGTTTATGCAGCACTTGGTAGAGCTGGATCGACAATATGCCGCCCATAACGAACATTACATCGGCCACAGTCATTCCGATGGCTTTCATTTTAGCAGGGAAAATTTCTGCGGTTATCACAATGGGAACTAGTCCCAGGCCGTATTTGAAGGCTCCAGCATAGACCAGGACTGAAGCGATTGGGACCCAGGAAACTGCGGAAACATCAAAGCCGATCGCCTGCAAATGGAAGTAGACTGATAGGGCGAGCAAACAGAACCCGCTCAGTAGACTGGAGACGACGAGGATGATTTTCCTGCCGAACTTATCGATGGTACAAGACGCAAAAATTGAGGCCAACAGCATGATAATGGCAAATACTATCGCTGTAATGTTGTTGTCTAAGTAGATGGAACCAGCCGCATTAAGGATGGGGTGTAGATTCATGTACATCACGCTGATACATGAAAGATGTTGACCTGAAGATTGATGAAAAGTGTTACTTAAAATAAAGAATGTGGTTTAAAGCTGTAGTTACCAGCATTCAAAACAGTCATAATTAGGATAGCTTTTCGGTTGCTGGGAACTAGAAGTAGATCCTGGGGACGGCCCTGTTCAGTCTTTTGCCTTTCTATTCCGTTGGAAATGCTGTCTATTTCCAGGTCCAGATCGGCGTCTTTATTTCTCAGTCTTTTCAATGATTCTTTCGCTTCTAAAGGTCTAAAATGCATTAATAAATATAGTTTGGTGCAGGGGCGGATCCAGCTTTAAATTCAGGGGGGGTTATGTAGAAAAATACAGTCTTCTGTTGTCTATGAAATTATAAAAATTATCGTCGTTTTGTGCAAGGGTGGCGCAAGATAATTGCAAAATTTCATGTTTTCCGTCCCGTTTTGCATGTTTCTCGGAAGCAAAATGAGCAAGAACGCTCGTTTTTACACCATTCGAAAGAGAACTAAATGGCCTTTTTAGAAAGTGATCCATCGATAAGGAAATGTTGCAGTTTTCTCAAAAAATTCTTGATATCAAGTTTTAGATTTGCGTGTTTTTTTTTGAGTTGCAAAATCCACTTGAA